CGCCGGTTGTGCAGATCCAAGCCACATACGGCGCTTTTGCTGCCATTCTCGAGGACGGCTCCGTCCTGACCTGGGGTTCAGCTCCGCAGGGCGGGGACAGCAGTGCCGTGCAGGGCCAGCTGAAGAAGGTGCAGCACATCCAAGCCACAGCTCGAGCTTTCGCTGCGCTTACAGAGGACGGATCGGTCGTGACCTGGGGATCTCCAGCACACGGCGGGGACAGCAGTGCCGTGCAGGACCGGCTGAAGAACATCCAGCAGATCCAGGCCAACATTCGGGCTTTCGCTGCCAAAACCGATGATGGCTCGGTGGTGAGCTGGGGTGACACTGACTTCGGTGGCGACAGCGGTGCGGTGCAGCACCAGCTGAAGGATGTGACCGCAATAGCCAGCGGTCACTGTTTTTTTGTAGCCATCCAAGGTGCATCCAGTGGGGCGAGTTATGAAAACAAATCGGAGCCTCGTGAGTTCCCCTGTGTCCCCTTAATCGGAGTCTCCCCCCTTAGAGTTCTTCAGGGCACCCTCCCTTTTGGCCCTGGTTGTCCCTGTGAGTGCGAGCCGAGTGCGCGATTCCCCCCTGTAGGTTCCCGTGTGCCCTGCATGTCACCTTTCCTTTCGGCCCTGCACTTAACATTCTTTTTTTTTCCGCGCTCGCTGCTCAAGGGTAGGGGCGCGGATAGAGGGGCGGGTACAGGCGGACTTGCATCGCTGGGGCCTGAGATTCATCATCAGTTGAGCCTGCTTTGATCGCACCTCTGCTGAACGCATCTTGATTGCAGCTGTCCCAGTCCGGCAAGTACGCCGAGGGGGGCAGGAGGGGGGCCGGATTTATATAAATTTCTAAATGCCTCTTCAGGGTTCTTATGTGGGTTTTGGCAGCTTGCAGCGCATTTATATTTTTGGATTGCGTCTCTAAATGGCACTAAACGCCTGATTTGGGGTCCTACTGTGCGCAAAACGTCCCATTTATAGGCATTTAGAGAACCAAAAAAAATAAATGGCCTCAAGGCCCGTTTTGTCGCACTTGGAGCCCATGGGAACCATTTAGAAATTTATATAAATCTGGCCCGGTCGGCCCGGCTCCCCAGGCGATTTGGCTGCCGTCTTCAGCAGCTTCGCGCCGCGCTCCTCAGAGGGTTTTGGGACTTTGGATTTGCTGGACTCGGCATGGGTTGATCGCGAGTGGCCCCTCGCAGTCCCCCCACCCGGAAGCCCCGAGCCCTCTTGCCGTGCCCAGGTCCGAGGTCCTCGACGGCTCGGCTGACATCGCAGTGCCTGGCGCCCTGTGCCTGCCTCTTGAAGTCGGCATGCTTGTGACGCACACATCGCAGTGTCTTCCCGAGACCCCCGAGTTTGAAGGGTAGGGGGTTGGGGTGATGGATGCCACCGCGGAAGCTCGAAGGCTTGCGGTGGACGTGGTGTTGCAGGGTAGCATTCCGCTACAGCAGGTGGGTGGCCATGTGTTTGGAGGCAAGCCCGCGGAGGCCCTCGAGAAGATGGCGCGATTGGTGAGCCAGAGCGACCATCCCCAGCAAGCTGAGGCGGTCGCAAAGCTTCGTAGCATCGGCCCGCTGCCCGAGTCGTTCGAGATGCTCTACATGTTCCCCATCAGCGCGACCGAGACACAGCTGAGGGTCCGGATGCGCACCGCGAGCGCACAGGAAGCAGTGCGGAGCCTGGGTTCGCAGTCGCATCCCTGCCTGAGGGGCGTCCCCGAAGCGATCGCGTTGGTGAAGAGCCCGCTGCATGGCACGGCGCAGAAGATCGGGGTGCATGTGTTTCCCGACGTCTCACTGGCAATGGGGTGCTTCCGGAGGATGCGTGGTCTGGTCGAAACGGACCAGGAGGCTGTCTTGGAGCTGGCTCTGCTTGAGGACCAGCTGCACAATGTGGATGTGAAGGCCGCCCGTGGCAAGCCCATCACTGCTATGGAGACGGCGGTGTGGACGGCGGTCGCACACTCAGTCGTCTCAGGAGTCCGAGCCCATCGAGCCCAATTCCCAGGAGTCCGAGCCCATCGAGCCCGAGCAGTCCCAGGAGCCAGAGCCCGCCGAGCCCGAGCAGTCCCATGAGCCAGAGCCCATCGAGCCCGAGCAGTCCTATGCCGAGCAGTCCCATGAGCCAGAGCCCGCCGAGCCCGAGCAGTCCTGGGAGCCCATGGAGGTCGAGCCCACCAAGCCCGAGTCCCAGGAGCCCATCGAGACGGAGCGATGGAGGAGGATGATGGAGGCGACGACCGGCCCGATGAGCCCTACCGGCCCGTGGACCTGGGTCACTACACACTCTTGACCGAGGAGTTCGCGGAGCCGCCGGAGGACCTGGATGCCGAGCGATATTGGCTCTGCTGGGAGAGGGTGGACTGCGTGACAATCGCGGAGGCTCTGCGACTTGATGCGGTGCGGCGCTGCCCCGACAGTGGGCTCTTCGACGTGCTCTACAGCTTCTCCAAGGACGGCATTGGCTGGGTGCCCGTGCTGCTGCGCCCAGGGCGCTGCCCGCCGGGCATGCGTGGCAGGATCTTCTGCGGCCCCAAGGCCTCTCCGAAGAAGAAGGCCAAGACGATGACCGAGCCTGGGCCCAGAGAGGCCTTCATCGAGAAGCTGCCTGCGGAGATCAGGAAGGAGATGGCGCAGGGCGTGCCAGAACAGTTGATAGGGCGGTCCGCCTTTGCTTTCAAGAAGGTGGTGCGGTACATCGTGCGATGCAGACTGGACTCCGTCGAGGTCGACATCTCCAATGCGTTCTACCAGCTGCTTCATCGCATCGTGCCCCTCCCGGAGACGCTGGCCGAGTACCTGGCCCACCGCGATGCGAAGCTCCAGCACATCGGCGAGGTCCTGCTTCCGAAGCTGTCAGAGAAGGCCCGACGCAGGGAAGCCAAGAAGCTGCTCATCCGCCTCGGGTTCGGTGGCAGCTTGGCCAACTGGGCGATGGAGGCCCTCGGGAAGGTTCCGCTGGGCTCAGAGCCTGCTCCGCGTGGCCCCCTGGCATCATGGCTCTACAGGTTCGAGACCCAAGCACGTCGCTGGCATACGGATATCTTCGAGACCATGTCGGACGAGGCCAAGCAGTGGCACGTGGAGCGGGGGCGCTCCCATGCATCGGGAGCCTTACCGTCTACGCCCATGGGGAGAACCTCTACCTGGGGAAGATGCGGGACAGCTGTGGCTCGTTCTTCAACGACCACCAGAACGACGGCATCGGGGTCCTACGCGGCGGGGCGCAGTTCGTGGTCGCTGCGTTGCCCGACATCCAGGTGGCGGTACAGGAGCTGGAGGATCCGTGGCTTCACGCGGCCGAGAAGTACCCGAAGCTGGACTGGAGCCTGAAGGCGAGCATGCAGACGGAGGAGTTTGCTGCTCTCCGCCAGAGATGCCGGCAGCATGTCTTGAATGGGCGTGCGCGACAGAACACGGTGGAGTTCGCCAAGCTGGCTGCAGCGCTCCTGGCGCCCGTCGTCCACGTGCCCGTGGAGGGAGGTGAGAAGCGGACCACCTTCGAGAGCTTCGAGAGGCACGGGCATTGGCTCATTCGCAGTCGCGACGACCTGGGACAGATCATGGAGGAGCTCATGGCCAACTTGTGCCGCCCGGTCTTCGCCCCCCCCGACTACATCCCGCCATACCCACTGAACGACAACACGTTCTTCTCCGGGCTCAGCTCTTCGGTGCTTGGCCGCCTTGCAGGACCAGCCCTGCCCGACGTCGATGGTGACGGGACCCGTTACCGGATCCTCCTGTCCGACGGCGCCCTGTACGACTTCCAGGAAAAGATCTTCAGATCTCCGGTGCCGGGGGACCGCATGGGCTTCCGGGCCAGCGCCACGTCCAAGGTGTGGGAGCCCCCCTTCGACACCGAGCTCTTTGTGCACATCAAGGCCTTCCTCCTCGAGTATGTCGGGTCAGACCAGGGCTTGTTGACGGGCTCCGAAACGGGCAAGAAGGTGATCGAGTGCTTCGAGGCCCTGCAGTCTGCTGGGTGCGAGCTGCTCGCCGTCTTGAAGGCGTACAGGGGTTGGGACTCGGTGCTCTACGACCTGCGCACCTTCGCCAGGGCCATCTCGGCCTGCCCTCGGTTTTGCGAGATGTACTACTTCTGGGGCGGGCAGTCCACGGGGAAGGACACAAAGGTGAAGCTCCTGCACCGCTTCCTGGGCGGCGGCGAGCACAACTATGCGGTGAGCCTGCCCGGCAACTACGTGGTGGCGGCCAGCGGCGCGGACCGCGCGGCTCGTGACGCCGCTTCGCCCTACCTGGCTCGCACACGGGGAAAACGCCTGATCTGGTGCTCGGAAGTTCCAGCACACGAGGCCATGGCGGACGGGTTCGTAAAGCCATGGTGCGAGATGCAAGGGGCCCCGATTACGGGACGCAAGTTGCACACCGCGCCCGTCGACTTCACCCCGCAGGGCATCTTGATTTGCACGAGCAACTCCCCACCGAAGCCCGCGGCCCCAGAGGGGATGGACAGACGGCTGCGAGTATATGAGACCTCCGTGAAGTTCGTGACGCGGCCCGACGAGAACAGCCTGACCCAGGCTCGCGCAGTGGACGATCTGAAAGGCAGGATCCAGGCCGGGATCTTCGACCCCTACATCTTGTACTTCGCCATCCACCTGGTGGACACGCTCGTGGAGGAGCTCAACCCGGGCACGGAGCTGAAGCCGCAGCCTCCCGAGATGAAGCTCTCGGCCGACGAGCCTGTTGGGGAGATACCGGGGCCTGGCTACGTGGAGATGCGCTGCCGCCTCGTGCATCGTTCCGACGCGAGCCTCATGAAGGATGTGCTCCATGACCTTCGGCAGTGGAGTGGCGAGAACGCGGATGGGACCAAGAAGGTGGCGCGCACGCTGGGCATCAAGGGTGCGAGCTGGGGCGCACACTACATCGCCACCGTCATGAAGGACGGCAATGTACATGGCCTGCAGCTGAAGCCGCAGCCGGTGATTCTGTGATGTGTGGCCTGAAGCAGCTCATGCCCTGGGAGCACACCCCCCTCTAGTAGTCTAAAACCGGTTAGACGTACCTAGTCCTAGCCTAGGGTGCTTCCCCGGCAGTGTGTGGAGCCGTGCAAGAGTACAAGTAGACTTAAGTAGACAAACTTCAGCTCTGCAGACTGCTGGGGTCGGGTGGAGGGGGCGCTGTTGGGGGCATGGGCCAGCAGCATTTTTTTCGAGACGACGCGCTGGCCGTACAGTGGAGCAGGTGCGAGAAACAAGCTTCTCTTCCCGCTTGAGTGCTGCCCAAGGACTGTGGCAGTTCCACTTGCTGCATGTGAGCCTTCCCAGGTCTCCCGCGATCGACACCATCAGGTCACAGGGGGGGGGAGGGGGGAGGGCATGATTTATATAAATTTCTAAATGCCTCTTCGGGGTTCCTGACTGGGTTTTGGCAGCTCCGATGGCATTTATATTTTATAGGTTGAGTTTCTAAATGGCACTAAATGTCCGGTTTGGAGTCTTACTGCACGCAAAAGTGCCCCATTTAGAGGCATTTAGAGGCTCAAAACAAAACCTAAATGGGACTAAATGCTAGTTTGTGTGAAAACGAGCCCAAAAAGGACCATTTAGAAATTTATATAAATCCTGGCCGGAGAGCCAGGGCCCCCGAAGATCTATGGCGGGGCCACCGGCCCTGAATTAAAATCGCGGAGTTGTCTGACTGCCAGTGGCACCGGTCTCCTCGTCAGCCGAGCCACGGGCTCCCCGGAACCACGGGGCACCGGGAGCGCATGCTTCAGCAGAGTCTCGGAGCCATCCGTGGCTCGCACCACCATCGAATCGTAACTCGAAACCTCCCGCACCGCCCCGTACTGGGGCTGGAAGGACCTCTGGGCATTGGTGGGGGCCCGGAATGCCCCCGCCTCCTCGAGCCGCCGCTGACGGCTCCTCGTCAGCTCGTCGTTGTGCTTGAACTTTCGGGCGTTATCCTGGTAAACCCTGAAGGTCGCGGCCGGCATCGTCTCGACATCTTCCGGGGCCACCGTGACTGCCTCATGTGGCCGGGCGTTGTAGGCCTCGGTGACGTTTTCCACGTGCTCCCCCCAGCCGCCGCCGTCCCGGGCCACCTTGCCCGCCAGGTCCTTCTTCAAAGTTTGAATCGCCCGGTCCACCACGGCCGTGGCATTGCGGTCAGAGGGGTCCTTCTGCCGGTGCACCACGCCCCCCGGCAGTGCCGCCTCGAGGCCCCGAAACTCGTTCCCCAGATCCGTGGTGATGGCATAATTCGACCCGCCCTCCACCAGCTCGGGGATGATCTCCGCTGCTGCTCGCGTCACCGTATCGGCCCGCTTGTCGGGCAAGGCCTTCGTCGCCACCTCCCGGGTGAAGACGTCCGTGACCACCAGGCCGAACTTGTTGGCTCCCCGGGTGTTTTGGCTCATGTCGATGAGGTCGGCCTGCAGCCGCTTGTCGGGCCCCTCCGCCGCACTCTTCCCCAGGCTCCGGGGCTTCGGGGCCAGGATCTGCCTCGCCACGTCGCTGCGCAGCGCCGCCTGGGCCCTCGCGCTCGTGAGGTCCCGCCGCTCCGGGAACTCCCGCCGGGCGATCTGGAACAGCTTCCGCGGGTCCCTCACGTTGAAGTCCCGGGCCAGCCGCCCGAGGAGCTCCATCGCGCCGTCCTCCGCCATTTCTTAACTATTGATCTGATCGATAGTTTCGGGGTTGGTATGTTTGGCATACCACCCTCACGGGCCCATTTTTTACCCGCCATTTCTTACAAATGATCTGATAATTTCGGGGGTGTTATGTTTGGTGTCACAACCCCTCGCCTTTTCGGACTCCAAAACGCCCTCAAAATCGCATTCCTCAAGTTTCCGTGCTGATACGGAAACTTGAGGAATAGCTTTTTCGAGCCCGACAAGAAGCTTAATCCGAGTCGCCCTTGCTCTTCTTCTTCTTCTCCAGCTTCTCGATCCTCTTCTGCAGGCCCTTGCAGACCTGCCAGAGCACGGCCGTCATCCTTTGATAATCCAGCGTCATAAGCCCTCTCTGTCCTCGAACTTCTTGATCTTGCAGAGGCTCTTGCCCAGGGGCCCCGAGGCCTCCACCTGCTGGGCCACGAAGCCCACCTGGTTGGCCGGGCCGTCCACCCGGTCGTAGTAGGTTGCCTCGACAGCATCGAAGGCCTCCTGGGCCTCCTCGGCCGGCGCGGCTCGGAGGTTCGTCTTGAGGCTCTCGTCGCTCAAATTTTGGAAGCCGTAGAAGCAGATGACCTCACCATCGCTGCAAGGGCAGGCTGGCCTGAGGAGCGATTGCGCCGTTGACCCGGAATGTGTCGTCCACCAGGACGCCCTGGGTGCCGCCCCGAAGGGTGAGGAAGAAGCCGGCCGGATCCGACTCCAGCAAAGGGGCCCCAAACCGCAGGTCGCTCTCGATCTGCTGGTTTGCCAGGATACTGCCGTTGGTGGTGACATTGCCTGTGGCCGCCACGGAGCCGGCGAGCAGCTGGGCGAAATCCGCCATGGTGGCGTTGAGCGTCTTCGCCGCGTTGACCGTGACGTCCTGGTCCAGGGTGATCCCGGCGGCGGCGAAGGAGGCCAACGGCGTGTTGTCGATGGCCCTCAGCACGATGGGGGTGCCCCGGAGCTCCGGGGTCTGCACGAAGCCGGAGGCCGTGAGGCTGGTGCAGAAGATGTCGGCCGGCAGCGGGCTCGCCTCGAGGGCGGCCACGCGCCCGTCCAGCAGCGTGACCTGCGTGCCCAGGCCGTTGAAGGTGGCCGTGAGTGTGTACCTGGAGTCGGACTCGCTCTTGGACCAGCAGTCCACTTCCAGCTCGAGTGCTGAGCCGTTGCCCAAAATGGGCAGGAGGCTCACGGGGGCACGGGGCACCAGGCTCCGGATGCGCCTCGGCGTGAACTGGTCCTGCAGAAGGTTGTAGATCGGGCCGCCCTCCGTGAAGCTGTTTTGGGGAAAGTAGCGGGCGTCCAGTGGCGCGGTGTCGCCGGACTGCAGGAAGCGGCCGTCTGCTTCTGCCTTGGTGTAGGCGTCGCATGTGAGCTCCAGCGTGGTGTCCGAGAGGATGGGCGCCCGGGGCAGCAGGGCCTTGATCATCGGGGGCGTCACGTTCGTGCGCACCAGGCTCTCGAAACTATTGTTGGCGTTCACCGCAAAGTAGCGGGCGTCTCCTTGTGTCTGGGTCAGCAGCCCGGCCGCCGAGATTTGGTTCCCGATCTCCGTGGTGGTCTCCGTTTGATTCCAATAGTCCGTGAGGGCGATGCTTATCTCGTTGAGGATCGGAGCCTGCAGCCCGGCGAAGGGCACGTAGTCGCTCAGGTCCACGGAGACCTGGAGCGTGTCGTCGTTGTTCTGCAGCTGCCCCGAAAGGGGTGCTGCGAAGGCCAAGTTGCGCAGGACGTTCGTGCCGCGCAGCAGGGGCCAGTTCGTCTGCCCGGCCCAGGCCGGGGCATTGCCCAGGGTCACGGGCACCAAGGCGGAAGCCACGTAGGCTTGTGTTTGGGGAATAGTGTAAAAGCCCGATAAATCGATGTTTCCCACGGCCGTTGCGATGGCTGCGTCTGTCTCGGCTGAAGAATAAAAGCCGGATAAATCGATGCCTGCTAGGGCCGAGGAGAGTAGACTGTCGACTTCCAGAGCAGTATAGTAATCCTCGAGCTTGGAGTCCACCGCAGCCTCTCGTTGTGCTTTCGTTGAATAAGGGACTAACGAAGCATCGATCAAAGCTTGCACTTCGACCGTATTGCTGTAGGGCACCAGGGCGGCGTCCGTGTAGTCATTTGCGGCCGTCTCGGCGGCGGCAATGGCGGCTGCCATCTGGACTGTGGTCGAGTAATTGCTCAGAGCGGCCGTGATGGCTCCGCTGGTCTCGGCCGCCGTCAGATATCCACCCAGCGTGGCGAGGACCCAGGACTCGCTGGCCTTCGGGACCAGCAGGGCGTCCGTCTCCCCTCGGGAGTAGGTGTCGCTACTCAGGGACAGCGTGAAGTTGTCGTTCTGGAGCGAGAGGCTCAGGGGAGCCGAGGCGTGCAAATTACGGATTGTGTTGGTGCCCAGCAGAAGATCCCATGTGATCTCTCCCGGCCAGGCTTGGGCGTTGATGAGGTTGCTGGCGCCCCCGGTGCTGAGGGCGGCCAGCTGGGCGAGGATGGCGTCGATGGCCGACTGGAGGGAGGTCTCCAGGGCCGCGAGGTCGCCGGGGCTGACGAAGGGCCCCTGGCCCTGCAGGGCAAGGATGTCGGTATCGTGGCCGTCGAGGCGCGCGTCGCGCAGGGCCAAAGCCGCGTCCACGGCGGTCTGCTGGACGAAGGGAAGCAGCGCAGTTGCGATGAGCTGGCTCACATCTGCCGACGTGGTGCGCAGAGCCACCGCGGCCGTGAGTTCGCTAGTGCTTGCATAGGGAAGCAAAGCCGTAACGATGGCCTGAGCGACGTCTCCGGCCGTTTGCCTTGCCGCCACGTCGATGGTCAGCTGGTCCACGACGCTCTTCAAAGCGTAGGTTGCTGCCACCGTGGCAAGCGTAGCATTGTTGGCCGAAGCGATGGATGAGTTCATCGCAGCCGTCGTGGGATGATTGGCCAGCTTCAGGTCCACGGAGGCCGGCGTCGACTTGCCGTCGACTTCGACCTGGAGGGCGTCCAGGGCCGACTGGTTGGCTTTGGAAGCCAGGCCAAGGGTCAGGCTCGTGTTCAAGGCCACGAGGCCGGAGCTGCCAGGTCCGCGGCCAGAGCATAGGGAGCCAAGTCCGGCGGCGGGGGGATGGCGCCGACTTGGGCCTGCAGCGCCGCCACTGCCGCGCTGTTGGTGCCGATGTCAGCGGTGTTCTGGGTGGTGGTTTCGAGGGGCGTGTATTGGGTCAGGACGAGGGAGAGCTGCCCTGCCGTGATGCCGGTGGTCTCCGTGGTCTGCCCGTTGTTCAGGACGTTTCCCGTGATGGAGGATTCGAACAGTGACATTTTTACTAACACTCAAGACCATCAGTCGAGGATACTGACGCCAGACCCGCTCAGAGTACAGATGGTCATGGACACGAGCCCGACCCAACAGGAATCCACGCGGTCCGCCAGCATGTTGCGGAAGGTGAAGCGGCACAGGTCGCCGGAGCGGGTGCTCAGACCCGAGGTGGGGTGCTTGGGCACGCGCTCCGTGGGGAACGCAGCAATGAAGTGCGTGTTGTCGTAGTTCGGCAGCCTCATGTTGCGAATCTTGCTGTCGTAAGTGCCAGCCATTATGCTTAGGAAGTGATGATATTCGGCGATGCTTTTGATCGGATTCCTAGGGAATTGCATCGCACCGAGCTGCAATTGGCCTTCCATGACGGTGTTCGCGGAGACATTTGGGAAGGCTTCTCCGGGATATTCAAAGTTGGAAACGTAATTCTCTCCGGATTTGTTGAAATGCACGAAGGCGCCGAGCATCTTGCTGAAGGCACGAGCTAGGGTCACTGAGTAGCTCGTCGAACCGGCCGGCACGGAGGACTGTTGCACGTGGAGGCTCGGAAAGCTGAACACCAGGGACCTGTTGGATAAGAGCACGGACTCGAACGACTGCCGGAGCGCACTATCAAGGGTCACCTGATCGGCCAGAAGACGCACGTTTTCGATTTGATACGACAGGCTTGACCCCACGCCGGCGCGCATGGCGTTCTCGGGCTCCGCAAACTCTACTTCAAGGACGAGTCCGAGCTGAGAAGGTAGCATTTTCCCGCAGTTGAACATGCCGATGAGGTGCGGCGCCATGAGCACGTCTCGCATCTGCCCCGGTGCCACCGGCTGTGCCCAGCCGCCAGCGTCCACTGGCAGACCCTCCCAGTGCATCTCCGTCCACCAATCCGAGGGCTTAAGAAGGCCGTACATGAAGCATGACCTCCCGTAATAGTTAGTGTCCTCGACTCTTTGACCGTTGGCAAAGAGCTGGATCCTTTGGATGAAACAGCTCGGATCCGGCGAGCCGCAGAGCATGTCGCTGGAGCCGTCCGTGTTCCGGAACGTGAAGGCCAGCTTCACGGACTCTGGATCCACGAAATCGGTGCCAGGCGTACCTGCGGCCCTCGTGGGGCTAAAGAAACAAGACCTGTTCGATATTATGCATAATTGTGGTTGGTTTGAAAACCCGAACGCCCAAACCAACAACTGAACGGGTAAAGTAAATATGGACTTGTTTGGGGTCTTACATGCAGTGGCATATTTCGATCAGGAATCAAGGTACTTTAGATTGTGCCTATATATATATATATATTATAAATTATACATATATATATATATATAAATATATATATATAGGCACAATCTAAAGTACCTTGATTCCTGATACAAACAAAGCCTAAACACGAACTAAAACTTGCACTTGCAATGGGCGGTGTGAACACACATATAATACCCGAACTGTCAGAAACCCAATAAAGCCTTGCCATCATGTATCATCAATGAGAACCCATCTTTGGACTACCCTAAACCCTAAAACCTTAAAGTGACGGAGGGCCTGCGATCGCCGGTCGAGTTCGCAGCTGGGTAGGATGGCTCGATGAACATTGCCATTATTTGAACAGAATCCTCAAACCATGTAAAGGCCCGCCTTTGAGCCGGGATTTCAACCCGAAGTACGGTACATACCTTTAGTAGTCTACTTGGAGGTTCATGAATAGTTAAGAGTGGGTTATAAATATACTCATTTGAACCCATATATGCATGTATATATAGAGTACTTAACCCACTTATAACTGTCCATGAACCTCCAAGTAGGGTGTTCGATTGCAATTAAAGGGGTCCATGGCATCGGCGCTGTTTCTGCAAGCAGAGTGGCGGCGCCGTGCTTCCGAGTCTCGCTTCAAATTGCAACGAACTGATCCCATTCTTTGAAGTTGCAAAGTCAGTAACTATCAGTATGTTGCACTTAATCATCTTTTGGGTCAGCTCTCCGTGTACCATGCATCACGTACTAGCAAGAGGTATCTTTGCAGGGTCCTCATTGCTGTAGCCCTGGGACTCACGGACCGGGCGACGCGGGCTATTCGCCCTATCAAGTCTTCGTCTTGACTGCAAGATTCGCAACACGGGTTGCGAGCGAAACCAGTCATGTCGGCTTCCCACTGGATCACTTTGACTATATGATAGAGGAAGTGGTGCTTAGGAGTGATTGCAAATCTCTCCTCCCCAAGATGAAAGGAGAGAAATGCAAGTCTTGACGAACCCTTCAAGAAATGCATTCCAGATTGAATCATCGTGTCTTTGTCCTTCCCACACAGCCACAAATCTCCAGAGTAAAGGCCCTTCATAAACATGTTGAGTGCGCGAGTCGCACTTGCCTGAGCTTGCACACTCGTGCGCAAGCCTTTACACATATAAATTATTGTATAGAAATATAACCCGATTGAACCCTGGATGAATCGGCACAGCTGCCGTGAGCCGTAGGCGTTCGTCACAATGTTGTTCTAGGTTGAACCTCTTAGCAAAATCTTCGGCGAACTGAAGTAGCGTCGTGGTCAGGGCACCTTTGTGCCAGTGCCCGTCCGGTGCGCGTGTGTGTGTTATATACACACATGCATGCGCTCGAATCTCGATGGGACATGAAGTGTCACTCTGCGAGGAATATCAATGTCTGCGATCTTCACTCTGAGTATAATAATAAACCCCGAAAAAAGCCCCCTTAATGATGCCACTATTAAACCCGAAACCGTTACAGAAAGTCTTCTATGGTCCCCAAACTCACGTTAACCCACAACACCAGTTTCAGCCCCTAAACGGCCAGAGCCTTACCTTGGCACACACCCCAGAAACAATCGTAAAGCCGGAGGCAGGAAATCCCGAGTGGTATTCCCAGCTATGTAGAGAAACCTGCAGATCTCTACCTATAGTCTCCATTGTTATATATAGCTCCTTTTTTGTTAACGTTAGGACCCTATATATGTATATATATAATATGTTGGTTAACCGAAAAAGGAACATATATACAATGGAGACTATAGGTTTACCCGGAACCACAAACCCTACACTCCGCTATCGCTCGATCTTACATGAACCCTCGCCCTTTAAATGATCCCGGAACCAAAAACCCTACACACCGCTATCACTCAATGAGCCCTCGCCTCTAAATTCCCGGAACCAACAACCGTACACTCCGCTATCGCTCAACCTTACAACGCCTATATGTCCCTAACCATCCTCATCGAGCCCCATGAGAACTGCACACGACCTCAAACTCCAGTCTGTTCCCATCCCTAAACCCTAAACCAAAGCATCCGATCTTCGGGAAACCCCAAAGCCCCAAGCAATGTAAACACGATCCCCGAGTAACCTGCCACCCCAATTGCCAGGTACTTCAGAGACCGCCAAGCTTCTGGCTGGTGACGTCGGGCGTGGCTCTTCAACAGCTCGTGGTGCAATTCGGATGGCGAAGGCTGTCACGAAGGATTTCGGTTTTGGGGCTTGCAACACGCTCAGGAAGCTGAGCAAGGGATCAGAAACCAAGTCTGATACTCGGGTCATCTGGATTTTTTTGTGGGGTTGGTAATGGGTATATATATAACTATGATTAACTCCTTTGTTCGGAGCTTCTGCTTAGGAAGATGCTGTTCACAGGTGTCTGCAACATTTGCGACTTGATGTCCCCATCAGCACCGTTTCTATTCATGGCGATTCAGAATTTCCTATTCTGCGGGCAGGGGATTTCGTGAAGTGTATGGATCGGTGTGGGTTTTGGGACAAGATCTTTGGTACCCCGAACCTGGAAAGGGGTGAACAGATGTGCTATGATTATTGGTGCAAATATCGGAAGCTATACCCAAACTTCGACCTCTTCAACACAAACCTGCCACTGAGCCGTTGCCTCCCGATTTACATACACGGAGATGAGGGGCAGCATTACAAAAAGGCGGCGGTCATGGTCATACAATGGCAGAGCGTTTTTGGCCGGGGAACCAGCTTGAATAACCCCAACATCCATGGCAACCTGTCGGAGAAAAAATACTTTGTCAATCAGCGGGGTATTACTCTGGCGACCCGCTTCGTTTATGCAGTGATGCCCAAAGATTCTTGCAATCTAGCAAGCTTTTACATTTTGTGCTACACAGCCATCACAAATGATTACCAACCTCTGGGCCGTGACATGCTCCTAAACCCCAAACCCATAAACTTTCTATGTCACGAACCCTATACCCCCATAAAACCCTAAACTCTAAACCTTATAACTTATAAAAAGTATATATAATACCCTAAACCCTATGAACCATATAGTTGCTTAAGCATCCCTAGTTTTATTGTCAAGGAACATTATGGCGAGGATGGAGAGTCTCTTGAGGATGTTTTCCAGCACATTTGTTCGGATCTACGAGAAGCATACCTGTCGGGGGTCACGTTGGAGGACGGATCGAAATTACACCTGGTGCCGATAGGTGTGAAAGGCGATTGGCCTTTCTTGGAAGCTAGGCTTCGATATATCTCAGGATGATTGAACAATTAAGGTTTTGGGGTCTCGGGATCTATAATATAGCAGCAAGAAAGCTTGATCGAGTTCATATAGCAAACCCGTCCTTAATTTTCCTGATATAAACCCTGTAGATATTTTATGGAACCCTGTAAACCTTAAACCTTCCATCCGAGATTTCTGCCGGACACCTGCTGCGGCACTTCCGGCGCGGCAAGAAGAAAGACGATGGCAAACCTGGTGTGGGCATCTGCCATTTATGCAGAGCAGGCCAGCCGGGTTTGGATTTTGAAGACATGCCGCTAGAATTGCAATTATACGTATGCATCCACTCGAACAGCCCTATTGTTAAAACTCGTCCATGCAAGGCCTGCACACTTCTAAAGCCGAAACCACAGGCTGTTCATATATCTTCAGCTGTACGGTCTACTGCTTTTCAGAAGAGGGTTCGTGAGGCTTGCTCAGGGCTCTCATCTCTGGTGTGCTGTGGTTGTCACCCGAGCTGCGAAATCAAACCCTATAGGGCGAAAATAGGTTTAGGATTTCGGGTTTTGGATAGGTTTAGGATTTCGGGTTTTGGATTTTGAGTAGATTTGCATTGAACGGCAAACCCCGAACACACCATAATAAATATACCACCCCAAGCCCTACACCAGAACTCTTGCACCGAAGATACCAGAACCGCCAAGGAGCGATTGGCCCCAATTCATGGAGACCGTAGATGAGCAGCTTCCTTGGGCGCCAGGCGACGAAAGCTACTTCACAAATTTGCTTCCTCAAGATACCAACTCGCTAGCATCCTATTACAGACCTGATGTTTGGCACTGTGTCAATATGGGGGTCGGCAAGTCCTGGGTGGCATCGGTACTTATACTCTACTTGCCCTTCGTCGATGGGAACTCTATCCCCGAGAAGCTGCAGTCGTTGAGTCGGGAATATACTCGGTTTTGCCAAAACTCTGCTGCTCTGCTTGGGGTTCAGGGTTTTTGGGTTCGGGTTTAGGGTTTAGGGGTTTAGGGATTTTCGGGTTTATGTGTATGGGTAAAGTAATGCCAGCCCGACCTTATTATATGGTGATCGATGAATCTAAGGTGCCAAAGAAAACCAAATACATTGGCAAGAAGGGAATCACCAAGGACCTCCTTGGATGGCCATCCATGCGCGGCTACCGCGCAAGATGCTGCCCCCCAAAACTTCAGTGGCCCGAGCTTAAGCACAAGGATTATTCAATGCATGCTTTCATATGCAATGCCACTGCCATCTGCACGCAGCTGGTGCATGTCTGGGGCATACGATCTATGTTGCGCTCTTCTGCCTGACCCGCCTTGGCGGGGTTTTGACGGGCGTAGCCTTTGCTGCTGCAGCACCCTTGCCCTTGCGGCGCCTCTGCCGAGGATTCTTAGGCTCGGGGACTTGCTCAGGCTCCTCATCCTGATCCGCCTTGCTCGCTTTGCGAGCCAGGTTCACACCCTTCATGACGAGCCTGGGTTTTAAATCTGCAGAGAGAGAGAGAGAGAGAAAGAGAGAGAGAGAGAGAGATAGAGCGAGGGCGAGGGAGCGAGGGAGGGAGGGAGGGAGGGAGGGATCGAGAGAGAAAGAGTGCATGAGTGAAAGAGCGAGAGCGAAGGAGAGAGCCAGAGAGAGACACACACACACACACACACACACGAACAGTTTACAAATCGGTAAGCACCATGAACAAACATATAGGGTCGTAGGGCCGAGGGGTTGGGGAATGCGATCAGGCCACTTGTGCTGGGCATCCTTTGACAGCAGGTCGGCACACCTTGTATACAAGTCCATATATCATGTCACGGTGCTATAATCTGACGCAGCACCGGAGAGTTATTTGATGCAGTCGGGCCACGGCTTGGCGATCGACTCACGGATAGTCGTGAATTCCACCTTCACCCTTCAGGGCTTCTATAAATATCTAGACAAATACCGGGGTCACGGGTTCTACAGGGTTTCGGAGGCAAGCGACCCGTCTGAAAGCCTCGCCCCGCCTCTGGATTCCAGCATGATCCACATCCTCCATCTCCAGCTTGGAAACCAGGCCGGCCATCTGCTCGTACGCCCCCGAGGTGGGCGTGGCGATGCTCATCAGCTCCTCAGCCAACCTTGGAGATTTTAAGGCTCATGTACTATATTATTATAGAGTTGTCGTCATATATATGTAGAGGCAAGTTGCTTGACTGTTCCTTCGGTCGGCTTGGGGTTGTAGGGCTCGTTGAGCTGCTCAATCATTCGCGTCACAGTCCGGCTTTTCGCCAACAGGGCATCCATGTAGCGCTTAAGCTCATCTTTAACCTGCATCAGCCCGTAAGAACAGATCGAAGCCCAACGTGACCGCACTATTTGTCATCGCATATATAATACTTCAAAGCATCAACCCCAATGTCTCGGTATATGTCCCCTCTTTCACTCGCTCGCTCTCTCTCTCTCTCTCTCTCTCTCTCTCTCTCTCTCTCTCTTTCTATCTCTTTCTCCTCTCTCTTCTCTCGCTCTCACACGCACTCTCTCTCTCTCTCTCTCTCTCTCTCTCTCTCTCTCTCTGTCTCTCTCTGTCTCTCACTCTGCTTGAAAGCCAAAGCCGAAGTACGGTGAGGTTCTCAAGTTGTATTCCTGTTATAGGGTTTGGTGGGATAGCATTCTACTTGGAGGGGCAGGGGACTTGTGTGGTTATATATGTATATAATGTATAAGTATAGAGCTTTAAGTAGCCTAAATGGAGTTGCCCCAATTATACCCCTACTTATACAAGTCCCCTGCCCCTCCAAGTAATATCCCAGCGCTAGCCTTCGTCTGCTCCGCATTCGCCTTCGGCGGCTCCCGGCCATTCTCCCTGTCCAAAGTCGGGTCACCGATAAACCCCGATGCAACGCCGGAAGCCACATCGACAGGGTGCTCGGCTGTTCCTTCCTGGCAGAATTCGGGGAGCGGTTTGGAGAGCCCTTGGCTTATGATGGATCGATCGATACGGTAACATTGGGGTGAGATATATATATATATATATATACATATATATATATATATATATATATATATTGCATATGCAGTAAGATATATATATATATATATATATTTATAATATTATATATACCGCATCTATATCACAACGATCGAGGACCTAAAATATTCCCTCATCCCGAACCCAAGAAATGCGCCAGTGCACGCTGGCCAGGTTTCGGGCGGCAGGGTTTGGGGTTAAGGGTTCAGGCCCGCGTCAAGGGTTCAGGCCTGCATTGAGGGTTCAGGGTTTAGGGCGTTATAGGGCTACTTGCGATCCCCACCATCAACAGATCGATCCGAAACCGGACCCAACACACTGCGAGTTATAGAACCCGGCCTGACCTTTAGCATCATCGATACATCCTCGTTCCCCTCACCATAGCACCTATGCATAGGATATCATCCTGACTAGCATCACCAAAACAGATGCCGTCATCAAGCTTGCCATCATCACCTCACGATGCTGTCACCATGCACCACTCTGATCTCTTTACCATCTATAATGCCTTCATGGCCGTCATCACCATCACCTTAAATGAGGCCATCAGAACCATCATGACATAAATTTCCGACCCATCATATACCCGAAGCTACAAACCACCCAGAACCCAAAAGCCCTATTTCGGTTGATAGCTTTGGATTCGCGGAGCCAAGGATCCTGGGGCCGATCTATCTATATATGCTGGCTGCCAAGGTGCGTGATGGGATGATTTGTAAGAGAAGGAATCCAGATAGGGACCCTAGGTATTCTAATCTTAATATCCGATACTAGGTTCTATATATGGTTGATATATATATATATATATATTATACATGTATATGTTTAGGAGGCCCGAGCTATAAGCTTCTGAAAGGGTTTCCCACCGGTCCTGAGCTGACTCATGCAAGTACTTGTCCAGCTCGCTTTGCTTGATTTTCGAAGTAGACTCCAACTCCACAAAATATTCTGTCACGCTGGTGTTGTACTTCCAAGGCCTCCCATTGCAGTTATGATCTGGAAAGTAGACTGTACCCTAGACATGCATGTTATCGATCTTGCCAATACAATCGCACAATACAGTAAGCGAACCTCGTGAGTGTGGCCGGGAACTTCAGGCAGTACTGAACCACTTGCTTGATCATGTCCCTGAGTGGGGACGTCCACTAGGAAAGTTGATTCAAGTTTTGCGAAATATACAAATCATGATTGCAAACACGGTGCTTGCCCCAGCTGTGTTTGTTCTTCATTCTTTCCTCCGTCAACCATTCTCCGGTCACCTCCTTCTCGCGTTGAAGGATGCGCTCCTTCACGAAGGTAACCTTGCAAACGAAGGCCGCCTCGGTTCAGATATGGCCCCACGCTTGAAACCACAATGGGTACTCATGCACATATAATGCGTCACAGGCACCCGCATTTTCTGATGCGGGGCATCCGCCCCCAGTTCCTTGATCGTTTCGAGCAGGGCGATTTCCAAGGCCTCTCTCGAGGATCCTCCGGACTTCCAATCGGCAGTTAGCTCCTCCGACACCCACGCTTTGCCGCTTTTCTTTTTTTCACAAAGTCGTTTCAATCTCATTCGTAGTGCGTCGTGGCTAATTACCTTTGTTCCGTCCGGCATTATGATGCTGTCAGCATCCAGGCTCTCACCGGACTCGCCGGCCTTCGCACCATCGCCCGACACCGAGTCGGGAGGAGCGGCATTCTTCGGAGCCTTCGGCATCGGAACGGGAGCCGTTCCAGCCTGGTGCTGCTTGATGATCTCGGCCTGCTTGTGAAGCTGCTCCTCCAGCAAGCGGATCTTCTCTGTCATCGGATCCACGGGCTTCGTGTCAGCCTTCTGGAAGCCTGCAATCAAGCTGGCTTGCTCCTGAAGCTGTCTCTGCATAGCCGCGAGCTGCTTCTCCAATGGATTGGTCCTGCGTGCAGTTGGCTGCGTCGTCTTGTCGCCTGTGCTTGGGCTCGGCTTTCCTGTGTGGGCTGGTGGCGTGACCGTTGTTGTGCTTGGGCTCGGCTTTCCTGCGTGGGCTGGTGGCGTGACCGTTGTTGTGCTTGGGCTCGGCTTTCCCTGGTGGGCTGGTGGCGTGACCGTTGTTGTGCTTGGGCCCGGCTTTCCCTCGTGGGCTGGCGGCGTCACTGTTCGGCTCTTTCCCACCGGCGGCGCGGGCTTTTCCGGGGAGGCTACACTCGAAGGTGGCTGTCAATCCAGTCCGAACCTAAGCTATTGATGTGCATGCAACCAAGTGGTTTAAGACAATACACACACATTCTCCGCCCCAAATTATGACACGGTACTTCTCCAATACCTCCACCATCATCCTCTGAAGCTCCCGGCTCGGTAGCCTCTGAATCAGAGACCTCCTGAGCCTGCTCATCCTCCTCACCCGGGAGGCCAGCCAGCTCTGCGAACTCTGGCTCCTGACGCGGTGTTGGGCGTGGGCTGCTCTTCATCGTGCCCTGTGGGTGTTTGGGATATGGCCTGTAGCACCGTGCAATGCAGGGGTTCTGAAAGGGCTTTCGGATTGCAAGGGGTGTGCGGAGTATAGGTTCAAGCCGGCCGTTCGGGTGTTGCGGGGCCATACAGGGGGCTGGAAGGGCTCTCTCCATATATACCCCGAACCCAGCCTCAGACCTATATAATATATATATATATATATATAATATATATATATATATATAATATATATATATAGTCTTATATAGTGTATATATAGGTCTGAGGCTGGGTTCGGGGTTGCAGGTTCTGCATGGTACTCTACCCCTGGCGAATCCTTGGGGCACATGGACAAGGTAGCACTGCATGTTTAATAATATGTTGCTAGGCTTTCCCGGATCGAATTACGAAAACCCGGCCTAAACTATAGTATAATTCGAAAATGTATAAAATAGGGGCTTTCCAATCTGCATGACCCTTTGCACTGTGCAGCCCTATACTGCCCTGAGCGGACCCTAGACTTTCAATTCGCAGGAATGAACCGATCCCCAAATCCGAAGCTGACCGTGCAACCAAGCCCCCGGACCCATCGGATTTAATTTAGGATTTGGGGTGTAGGGACATGTAGGGAAAGGTTTTTGCGCGTGGGGATCAATACATATACCCGAAGCCCCAAACCCCCCAAACCTGTACAATCCCAAGCCCTTTCCGGCAGTCCGCAACAGCCCAAGCCCCAAACCTTTCCCAAAAACCCGATAATATAATATTCCCAAACCCGAAACTCCAAGCCCATAGCGATCGACGGACTGTTCCCTGTATGTACGGCGCCGGCACCGCCTCCGAAACCACTGGCTCAGCGAGCACTGGCTTCTGCTGGCGGCGGGTCTGCGGTGGCGGTGTCATGTCCTGCCAAGTGGGGATTATATATATGCTCGACACACACACACAATCCCACACATTATCATACGCTCCTCCTTCTTCACTTTCTCTTGCTTGATGTGGCTCAGCTCAGACTCGGCTGCCTGGTATGGGATCCGAACGAACATATGATCATATCACTGGATTGTCGTTGGGAAGTTCAGGGGAAGGTTTAGACTTGGAGGGTCGGTTAAGAGTTTTATGACAAGTTGGGGTGAAAAGCTTCGGTTCTTTGCTGGTCTTTTGAATTGCTATGCTTACGATGTGCCAACATTGCATATGTGAGTATATGCTTTGAGATATGTATATAGGTTACAATAGGTATATATAGATAATGATAACTGTGATAATATATGTATACATACACAATAAATATAATATATATATATATATATATATATATGTATGTGTGTGTGTGGGGGTGTGTCTGGGTGTATGTATGATTTAGACATACATATATATATATACATAATTTATATATATATATATATATGTATAAATCATACATACACCCAGACACACCCACACACATACACATGCACATACACATGCATACATGCGTGTGTATCATGAGTGTCCACAGGGTCGGTTCTGTGTCTTTGGGGTGCTAGCAGCCTACAGCAAGGGTTGGATGGGAGCATCACCCGGGCCCACGAGAAATCTGAACAGAAGCCCCAGGAAAACCCTCCTGAGCCCAATATATACAATCAGATGTAGCTATCAGCCAGCCCCTAGGCCTGCAAACGTCGCAGTAGCTCCTCTCGGGAGAGCTCAGCTCGCTTCCCCGTAGACATGGCTGCACAATACTCCACACCCGCAGCCAAGGATGCTGCACTCCAAGCCCTGCTAGGAAGGGTCTTCGGCCTTCGCAAGGCCATCCTACTGATCAATGAAAACCTCTGCGGATTTGCATTCTGTGGCATCGAACCATCCTCCCATGTTGCACAAACGCGAGGCGATTGTCGACATCACTTCTTTATGGCCGATGCTGGAGTCACCGATTGATGGCTGGCTGTGCAAGGCACCGCGCCTACAGAATGCACTAGCGAGCTGTCCTAGAGGTACCAAATCCAAGTTTACCGGTCTTGATAGGGGCTAGTTTGGGCCCAGCCGTGAACACCTTTTAGGCGATCAAAGAACGTTCAAAAGGCATCCCCCCGAACGCTTTCGAACGCTTTAAGAATGGGTTAAGAATGGGTTGAGAACGGGTTGAGAACGGGTACGGGGTTTGAACGGGGTTTGAACGGGTGCCCCTAGAGTCGCACTTTGCACGGCCAATGAACGGCCTTTAGGCGCCCCGAACGCCTTCTGAACGGCTTCTCAACGGGTCCTATGTAGCGGTAGCTTACTTTACCTTAGATTTAGACCAAAATAGCCCCAAATTGCTACATAAACCAATAGAATCGACAATGACCCCTTTCAGACAAAACCAGGAGGATTGTAGGAAGGGTGAAGCACAGCCGATTGATCGAGCACCGGTGATCTCAGGGAGCACCAATTATATCTGTACATTCTAAGGTTCCGAATTATCGGGACGTGTTCAGTGTCCATATAATTAATAGCCGCTATCGGGAATGCTACAACATGGGTCTCACCAACACATCCTGATATGTAGCTTCACAAACGACGTGGGAATACACTCTTCACATCGACCGGCAAGCACAACAGCTTCGACCCGCGAAGATACACGATGGCTTCTAGCAAGTTCGCTTCTGGCCAGTCCCAGCCATCATCCCTGTCATGATCTGCCCTGGTGGAGCAGTTCTCGATAAACTGAATGGCAGTGAATGAATCAGGAGCCGGCCCCGGCTTCCCCTCTCCCTGAGAAACCAGTTGTGGCATGAGGTCGCGTATTCGGTTTCCGAATCCAACTGGGTATGACCTTAGGTGTCTAGCGTCAGGGTTGCATACCATGGATCAAGATGCAAACTATATATTGGGCACGCACACCTGAGGACTTCACTGGCTATCTTTGAGGTTCTTCGGAAGACCCGTCCATTTCTTCTTGCCCGTAGATTGGTCGCTGTCGTATTTGACAAGCTTACGCTTCGTTTTGGAAGCACGCACCGCTCGACCAAGCACACCTTTGTCCAGCAACGCCGTGGCCTTGTTGTTCGAGTAGCCATGAGATCTCTTCGGGGTCTCGGCACCGTAGTGCATCATCCACCATGCGGAGAGGTGGACCTTAATTGGCAGTTGTTTCAATTTCACGAGGGATCCCTTTTAGTATTATAATGTAGTGCACCAACCCCTGCAACCTCAAACAGGCAGACCTCACCTGTTTTCGAAAACCGCCCGACCTACTAATGGTAACGGTTTATGTATGGGGTCGAGGTCGCAGGTGACTAGTGCCCTATCTCACCTTTATCTTCCGAGAGTCCTACTGGAGGATGAACGACTGGGAGGCTGCCTCAGGCCTTGGAAACCTGGCCTGGTTTGATTATGGTTGGTCAGAATCAGTGGTTGGCAGCTCAAGATTCTGAGGGTTCGGGATGACCTTAACATATGATTATGCTTGGGCTTCACTGTAGATAATAGAGGCTTTGGGATAACCTAGCCCTGCCGTTACCTTCAATTTGGGTGGTCCTCTAGTCTGATTGAGGCTGCAAGATGGTAGAGTGCTGGCTGGCAATACAGCCCGGGTCGAAATCAGTTGACTATTGTATTGTAGGGTGCTATACTAAAGATTTGCGTCAAATATTAAAGATTGGGCTGCGCAGGGTTTCGGGTTAAGGATTTGGGTCCCGACCAGGTGCAAACCCCATAGTCAAATCCTTTAGAAGCTGCCCCCACCCTGTAATAGTGACTATATAAGGATTAAAAAAGGCCCCTATTATATTCCTATATTATACCACTATTACAGGGTGGGGGCCCCTTCTAACAAATCCTGTATATACATAACCCTAAACCCCGAAGCCCAAAACCCTCCAAAACCACGATTGCCTTGACGAAACAGGGCCTGAGCTTCCAAAACTATACACGACTATACAAGTCCCAAGAACAGTCCCAAACTGTAAGGGTTTCAATTATGTGTGCATTTAGGGTGTATATGTATATAATATATGTATGTGTATGTGTGTATATATATATAATATATATATATATATATATATATATATGTATGCACCTTTCCAAATGACCTCATAATTGGGTACTTGGGTTTCGGAGTGTAGCAATTAAGTTTTGGGGAGTATTTGGGCAGGAGGCAAAAACCCGGGGAAGCATTTTTGGTATGTATGTATATATATATATATATATATATATATTATATAGGTCGCACATGGTAAAAAAATATGATGACGCGCGGGCATCATATTTTTTTGCCATGCCAAAACCGCATAAACCCCTTCCCGGGCCCATCTCATCAGGATCTTTGGGCCTGCCCTGTCCCGACCTTCAACGATTGGTGGCGGCTTAATCAGGCCAGGCAACGAATGCTGGCTTGAGGGTTCAGGGCTGACTAGAGACCTTTAGAAGCATGGTTTAGGGGTAAGGGTTTGTAGGGGTGTGTGTGTATATATATGTATTGTGCAATTGCACATACGTGTGCATGTCTGTACATACGTACACATGTCTCAAGCGGCACATATGGAGCTCTGCTTACTCTTCCTGTTCTCGAGCCCAGGACCCTGTAGATCAATAACCATAATCCATCGAGCAAGGCAAATTCCCAAGCCCAGCCCGAAAGCTTAGAGGTTGTTCGACATTTAGCGAAGCATCGAGCAGGCCCGAACAGCTTTACAGATCCCTTGGCGTCCTGCAGCAAGCAACCCGAAGCCTGATTCAAAACCCGAACCCTGAGCATGGCGCTGACTACCCAGCCCATTCAGCTGAGAAGCTGCAGAGTCGAGTTGCAAATCCCAGAAGCGATTGTACCACCGAAGCACACTTGATGAGGGCTGCTCGACCAAGTAGCTCCCCCCACGTGCAATCACGAGCTTCAGTAAGAGGCACATCCTGAGCAGCACATGGGATCGGGGGATTAACATATACATGCGTGCGAATCATGCATTTTTCAAGCAGCGCCCATATTTAGTGCAGCATTGAAACCTCGAGGCCATAGAATTCGCGGAAAGGATTCTAGGCTGCGTTACGTCACCTTGTGGCAGGAGAACGGACCTTTTGCTTATGTAGGCATTCGTCCGCACCCAAGACGAGCACACGATTCCCCATATGGTAATGAACTCGTCTTCTTTCGCCGCTAGGATAAGCCATATACCAAGCCTCAGTCATTCCGCAGCGGAACAGCCAAACCAATTAGTTGGCCTATACTGTCACACCGACACATGCAATGCTTCAGGCCCCAGCGCAAGTCCCGAAGCACTCAAGATGTCGAAAGGGTTGGATTGTGTACCCGAAATGCCATCGAAGTAGGATATGTCCACGGCACAAGATGGATACCCGGAGTTGGAGACCGAGCGGAAAACATTCGCTTTCCCGGCGAAGAACTCACAGTATTGGATCTCCTGGTGCATATCGGTTTCTATCGAGTTTCCAATTTAGGATTTCGCAAATTCCTCTGAAGCACATGTCCTGGTTCAGCATCCCAAGCTTGGTGTAATAGACAAGAACCACACATAGGATGAACACCTAAGTTGCCGTTTCTCTTTGGAGGACTAGATGATTCGTGGGTATATATACTGCAGCTCGGGGACAGCTGGGCACTTCAATTCCTTCAGCCGCCAAACCAATTGGTCAATGTATGCCATCGTCAGAAGGCGACCGCTAGAAACCTCTAGACTTGTACGATATGCCAGCAATGCTGCTAGCTGTAATTTGTGAGATGCACATGTATATTCATAAAAAGCGCCTGCGTGTGTCCGGCCTTCGCAGGAAAACTGCGAGCGGTGGAGAGGCCGTCAGTTTAAGGACGTATATATAGGGCTTAGGGAATTGAGTTCGGGTGTGGGTTCAGAAAGTTGGCGTTCTCGGGCTTGGAGTTTAGAGTTAAGGGTTTAGGGTGTGGGGCTTGGGTTAGTATATAGGGAAATATGATCTGATTTAAGCTTTGGGCGCCTGTTTTCTGTAGGGACTTTATTGGGGCACAACATGTACACTATACTTATCGCTAAGGCTCCATGTACCTATATATATATATATATATACATATATATATATATATATAGGGACCCCTTTAAATAAGTATATATATATATATATATATAAGATAAAGGTACATGGAGCCTTTGGGAAGGGCCCTGGAGCTGGTCTTGATAATGATTTGGACTGCTAAGAGACTCCAATATCCCTTTAGTTAAGGAAATTTAATACTTTTTAGATAGTAGGACCCCTAATAGGATTTATATAAGGAATCATTAATTTAAGGGATGTTGGAGTCTCTGGGCTCGGCCTTGTGAGGGTTATTCGGCTTCGGGGGTTTCGGCGCTCACACTCCGACAATCCAGGCTTTGGGGGTTTAAGGGCTTAGAGTTCAGGGTTCCTATATATAGTGCTGCTACTCTACTACTATACGACTACTACTACTGGTACTACTTCGACTGCTACTTGTTCTACAATACTCCTACTCCTACTCTTACTCCTACTCCTACTACTACGACTACTACTACTACTACTACTACTACTACTACTACTACTACTACTACTACTACTAAGGACTGCTACTTTCGGTGCTACTCCTACGATAAATACAACGAAAGCTTCGCACGAGTCACCTGTTTTCGCTGTCCAAACAGTGCATGGGTCAGACTGGACGAACTTAATTACAAACTTGTGCCGGCCTTGCATGTATACATCAGATTTACCATTCGACGAATTGAAGAATTCGCCTGTGCCAGCCACATTTAGATGTACAGATCTCTAGCCATGTCCACCTTGAGTTTCCACCACGGTGTTGTCAGCGCTTCGTACATAGAATTGATCTTGGACTTCCACACGAAAGTTTCTCTTTCACGAACGCTTTTCGCGCACTCCACTGGTAACCGAGGAGTCACAGGAGGAGATATATCAGCCATCGAAGCCCAATTCTGTTTTCGCAGGAATTGGTACCTATGCGTGCTCTTCACAGACTCGATAAATATCTGGCGTTTTTCCCAGCGGTGGCTCATCTGCACGTCACTTTCAGGGAGCAACGTCGGTGGCGGGCAAGACATCGCGAAAAGAAGCTTCTTGTATACTATACTACTATACTACTGTACTACTATACTACACTACTATAGTACTATACATGTACTATAGGTCATGTATACTATATGCACGTATAATATATCTATATATGGGAATATGTACTCTACTAGGCTATACTGTAGTGTACTAGACTATAGTTATATTATATATAATTACCATACTACTCCTACTAGTACTACTACTACTACTACTAGTACTACTACTACTACTACTACTACTACTACTACTACTACTACTACTACTACTGCTACTGAGCGCCCGTGGGGCTTCTGGGCCTGGTTTTGGGTGGCCAAAATGTAGTTCAGCAGCTAAACTACATGTCTTGCGGGTTCTGGAAGGCTCTTGGGAGGGTCCTTGCTGGTGTGACATGTCGTCTGGCAATCCTTTCGCATAGTCTTTATCAATCCTACTGCTACTGTACTGCTACTGCTACTACTATATATTACTATTATTATTACTACTACTACTACTACTACTATACTATATATAACATACTAATACTATACTGACAGTTGCCACGTCTGACAAGATTTTGCCAAATGCCATTGATTATATATACTGCTGCTATACGACGACGACTACACTAACACTATACTAGTCATACATTCTACCATCGTACCACAATATTTGTATGATTGCGGCCATTCGTAATATGCTACTCGTCGCGCTAAACACTGCTACCAACACATATCTGTCGGCATTGTGGATCCGAAAGCAGCACAGGGTGTGGATCAGAAATGAGACGTTATCTCGAAGCCAAGATGCCTCTTTGAGCCTCGTTAGGGTTTTGGGCAGTTAAGGTTAAGGGCTCCGGGGTGATAGTACAGGGACCCAATTACACACATGGTCGCCAAGATTCCCTAAGCCCGACACCCTAGTATACAACCCCTGTGGGCACCTTTCCGACGACCTGAGCCTTTTGGAATTTCAGGTTTTCACAGTTTAAGATTGGGCCTCAAGTTTACATACCGGCAGGTATATATAGGAATATGCTAGCTGTAACAGCAGCGGTGTAGCAGCTTAAATGTAGTGGTGGCATTACAGGCATTGATTCGAATAATATCTATATATATATATATATATATATATATATCAGGGTTTGGGGTTTAGGGTTTAATATTATATAGTTCTGATGAAAAACCCGGAAGCCCAAACGTATAGACCCAAGGATAAGCATCCACCCCAGAGGCTCAAAAACCCGGAAGCCCAAGCGTAGTCCCCAGAATGCTGGGGCATTCATCCCAGAGAATAATGCCCCATGATCCCATGCTATAGAAGATAACCGAGCACTTCCAAAGCAGCCCGTTCGCCCAAACCCGTGAAGGCAGGAGACTCGCTAAAATCGAATCGATCAATCATGGCAGCTTGACCCTTAACCTTGAGGATGCCCCGTCGGAGCTGCAGTCGATTGCCAGAAAGACCTGCGAGGCGTCGTTTGTAAGATCACACAATGTGGGCAAAGCGGGCTGTTGAAAGGTATCGGGGGTGGCAGGCTAGGACTTGGGGTTCGAGGATTTGGGGGTTGCTTGAGATTGAGGTTATCGTGTTGCAGAAGGCGTGTGCTTCTAAAGTATAATAGGAAGTGCAAGTAACCAAGCATATGCGCATCTTCCACACACGCTCGCATGTGTACGTATACATACACAACCACATGATGCACAGGACTGCTCGGACCCTCTGGCAAACTTGAATCATTTCGCTCGAAGGTGCTCTAAGCTTTCGAAGCGGTGGGCTTTGCTCACCCAGAACCCCTTTGGAAATTTGCAGGATCTCCCGCAATAAGATTAAGGCACATGACACAAATTGTGTCACCAGCCAGCTTTCCCCAGCAGCAGCTTGAAACTGCCATGCCTTGCATGGCATGCGTCATGTGTGTTGCAAATTATGTCATCCTGCATATATGATTATCACACTGCTGCTGCTTCCCATCTGCCTTGCCGTTGCATTGCACCAAAATTATGAACACATCAGCTGGATCCTATGTGCGAAATGGCGCACATGATTCAATGCTCCGCACCAATCCAGCTTTCAGCTCGCACCCCGAGTCGAGAGATCACTCATCATTCTCGCCAGTGAAGGTCCGCACCGCGCTGGTGTGAGCCTGCATCAGCATGTCCTTCAGCTCGTTGACTTTGCGATCCCTCTGGTTATCCCTCTGGACAGTGTACCACCACTCTGCATTGCCCTCGGTTCGACATGTTGTTTAAATATTATATTATAAGCCCATAACAAAAACATTAAATATTATCGCATGACAAACCCAAACACTTTCGAAACAAAACCTGGGCACAAGCTGGGAAGCTACATAGATCTGTGTGCAGATGCAAGGTGACTTCCAAGACACAAAATGCAACTGGGGCGTCTTGACGACACAACCTTCGAATCTCTCAACCTTGACCCCAACGGCGGGCTTCTTCCAATAAACGCTCAATCGAACAGGAGCTTTGAGAGGAAACTGAGGGGATGTGTTCGGTGTGTGGCCCCCCGCCCTTGTGCACTCATGCATAATCTCCAACAGCTTCCCGGCCGCTGCTTCCATGGAGTTGACGGGGCTATCGAGCTTGAGGTTGGACTGGAAGTCTTCCGGTCCGAAGCCGGAAGCAAACCTCGGCACCTTCCCGCCCCTCCCTAAGCCTTTGGGCGCCGTCACACTTGGCTCCTCAATCTCACGAGTGGGAGGCGCAGCTCTGCGCTTCGGGGCCGGATCCTCAATCTCACGGGTGGGAGGCGCAGCTCTGCGCTTCGGGGCCGGATCCTCAATCTCACGGGTGGGCGGCAAGGCTTTGCGCTTCGGGGCCCTCTTCTTTGGCTGCGGATCCTCAATCATCTCACGCGTGGGTGGCAAGGCTTTGCGCTTCGGGGCCCTCTTTGGCTGCGGATCCTCAATCTCCGGGGTGGGCGGCAAGGCTTTGCGCTTCGGGGCCTTCTTTGGCTTGGGCATGGAGCTGGAAGAAGGCTCTGAAGGCATCGCGTCTTCCACGGCACCAGCACCGAGCTCGTCGCCTTCATCCTCAAAGGCCTGATTGGACTTGGCGTTCATACGCTTGAGCTTGCCAAGCTTCTTGCTCGACTTTGTCCGAGAGAGCTTTGCAGGCTTGGAGCTTTCACCTTTGCCCTTCTTTGCACCCTTACCCTTGCCCTTGCCCTTGTCCTTTTTGGGACGCATCGCAAGCTGATCCCGCCTCGTCACATAGCCATCCGGGACTTCGGGGAAAAGGTTAACGGCTACACAGGAAGAAACCTCCGTGTCTGGCTCACCCCCTGATGTCATGGAACCAGAGGGGGTCCCATTGGGGGTCGGAGTGACGGTCGGCTCGGTGTCCGTGGTTGGCTTCGGGGTTCGTGACGGTTCCATCGGTGATCGCGGTTCCAAGTGCCTCGGGCTCTGGGTCCGTGACGGTTGCAAGTGCCTCGGTGTCCGGCTCGTCGATCTGTGTCTCATCCGTGTCCATTGCGTACTGGAAAGGTCGTACTGGGGACTCGTCCACAAAGGTTACCTTCGGGCCCTTGTGTGGTCGAGAGAGCAGGCCCTCGACTCGTTTCTTGCATGCATGGAACTTGAAGTGCCTTTTCAGCTGCCTCATCCTGATATGTTTTCTCGGAACGATCCCTTAAATTATCACACGGAATAGAGACAGAAATGAAATCATGCTAATGTTCCGGAGCCTTGCCGAATGAAGCTGCTTTGACGTTGTGTCCAAACGCCTCTGCAATTCCTCGAGGGGAAGATCTTCCAGCGAGGGCCTCGCGGGTGTGTCACCCACCACCATCACTTCATCATCCTCGGAAGCCTCATCCCGAGAGGCTTCCGCTTGCGACTCGTCCATGGCACCACTGTCGAGAGACATGGCTGCCACACCACCAAGCACCTCATCATCAGTAGTCACAGGTGTCGCGGTCTCAGGCTCGGCCGTGGTGTCTGAGGAGAACGAGTTTGCACGTGAATCAGAAGATAGCGTGCTGTCAGCATCATCGTCTGCTGCACCCATGGCTTTCACCTTTGTCCGGATCTCCACCCAGGTTTGCACCAGCTCCTGCTATACTCGAAATGTTTTGGAAAGAATCATGTCCAGTTACAAAGCTTCCCCCTCACCACCCCCGACACTCTCACACTCGTATTGCACCCCCCCCACACTCACACACACACACAAACAATATATGTATATGCTGTGCAGTATAACCTTTAGACTGTGTAAATGCAAGCGACAGGACGATGCATCAGCACAGCTATTAGTATGCAAGCCAAAACACTAAAATGGCACTGGAGTATGTAGCCTGGAATACAAACACCGACACAATAACTTGATATATAGCCTGCATTGAGCTGGCGGCGAAACAGCAGAAAGCATGCGTAATCGACCGGCGTACTTGCATGAGCACATTTGATTAAATCTCTCAACCGTGAACCCAATCCCAGAAACGGAGCAGAACATGCAAGAACAACGGCAGCCTCAACGCTGCAGGCCATCAGAACGGCGAGGAGGTCCAAGAGAATCTGATCCTGACGGGCTGCCGTGATTGCCGGGTTTAGGGTAATTATAAGTGTAGCATAGGCCGGGTATATATAATAGTAGATCAGTCCTTCGGAGGGGTCTTCTTGTAGAGCCTGGCTTTAACCAATTGGCATAGCTTTCGCACGCCCCAGCTCTCTTGATAGATTTTCGAAGAGATCAGCTCCAGCTTGTTCTTTCGGTAAACACCCTCAACCGCAGCCATAACCATGTCAATACACGGAAGTGCAATAGATGACTCGGCCATGTGTTGCAGCATAACCGTGAGGACACGAATATTCAACCGAACGTTGGCAACACTTCTAGGGATCACTTCCGAGGGACCCGGGACGACGGTGGAACCATCTTCACCAATTGCCAAAAGTAGCCTTCCTGAGTTCCGAAGACGCTCCCGGGTATCGTCGTCCTTATCCCACATCTGAGTGATGTGGACTGCCATGGCCCACACACACACACGCACACAAACACTGTGGGGAGACTTGAGGTGCGAGCTCGATACATGCATGCAATCATTTTGGAACACAGCTGTGAACATGCTGGCAGCACGAATGCACATGACCGATCCTGCAGTATACAGCATATTATGATCACGGAGGGGAGGGCGCACCTTGATATCTGACTGCACGCTTGCAGTCACGCACCATGCTGCCCACAGCCAGCGCAAGCCAGACCAAGTGCCAGCAATAGATCCGCTTCATGACATCATGGCGGGAGCTTGAATAAACTCACGGTTCGTCTAGCACAATGAGAATGCGTACATGCATCCAGCAGTCACTAGAGACGTGGGTCTTCTAAACCCGGCCTTAGAGTTAGACGCTCGAGATATACTGTCACAAAGCTCGTATCCTGTGGAAAAAGAGTGGCCGAGTGATGCCTGATAGCATCGTGAACGGTACCTTTCATCACTTAAGATAATATCGAATAATGAGTCTCTATCCTTTGCTCTTCGGTCTCTGTCGGAAGATGCTACTTTCGGGTTTGATCTGCCGGTTCACAATAGGTATATCCGACAGTAATGACTGAAAAAGTCTGCAAAGGCTCTTGAAGCTTCGGTGCCTAGCTTAACGGTTCGTCACCACATGCTCCGATCGACAATGACCCTGGCGAGAAGGAGCATTTCGGGTTGCATTTGCAGCCCCTATACTACCCCATACCAATATATAACCTGCATAACTATACCCATATATTCCTTGTTTACACACTACGTTTCCCGCAATTCCTATAAATATAAATCCTGTATTAATTTATATATGTTGCCCTTTTATCCTATTCCCCATCTTGTTCTCGATTTAAGACCTGCCTGAAACCACAAAACCCCCTTCTTGTTCTCGATCCAAGACCTGCCTGAAACTACAAATCCCCATCTTGCTCTCGATTTAAGACCTGCCTGAAACCACAACATCCCCATCTCGTTCTCGATTTATAAGACCACCTGAAACCGCATAATCCCAAACTTGTTCTCGATTTCAGACCTACCTGAAACCACGTAATCCCCATCTTGTTCTTGATTTAAGACCTGCCTGGCATTGTCCATGCCGGACCCACACGAATCGCCGAACGGGCATTTCAACACCGGACTTAAAATTCCCACGACTCGGGTTGAATTACTACAATCTAGTGGGCGTTACAAGTTTCCGGAGGCGAAGCAGGGCGGCAGGTAATTGGAATCCTGCAGACGCGCGAGGTCGTGGGCGTGAAAGTTGACAAGCTCGAAGGGTAGTAGGTTACACTTTTGCGGCTCTGCACGTAACTGGTGTTCCCCGTCTGGAGCTTGTAGTCGAGCGAGGCCACCAGCTCGTCGTTGACGGCTTGAGTCACCTGCTCCATCTTTACTACTATGCAGCTTCCGGATCGCTCGCTTGACGAAGCGCGTCGAAGGACGGCTGTGCCATGGGACCACGACGACTTGTCCGGGAGCGCTCGCTACCGGAAGAGACCGGGATCGGCACGTTGTTGAGACCGAAGGGCGTCTGGGCCTGCGAAGCTTGGCCCCTGGGACGCCTGGCTGGGCGGGCCCGGATCTGGGGCAGCGGCTGGCTCCGGGGCTCGCTCTCCGAGTCCGTGTCGATCCTGAACACTTGGGGTTGTCGCCGGGCACGGCGCTGCTCCTGGATGAAGTAATGATCCACCGCCCCGCTCTCTTGCATGCCGTTCAAAGTTTGAACGTCCGTGGTCATGCTCGGCCGAGAGGCGTCGGAGTCCGTGCCGCCTCCCGTCGCCGCGCCCCAGCCCATCATCTGCGAGGCCGCGTTCAGCCCGCCCTCGATGCCCACCAGCGCGGCACCGGCCCCCGCCACGGCCAAGCCCCCAGCCGCTGCGCCCACCGTCCCCGCCGCTGCGAGGGCTCCCTCGCCCAGCAAAGCCAAGGCTCCCGTGCCGGCCTCCGCTGCCGTGGTAGCCTCTGCTGCGCTTGCTGCAGCCTCCGCCGCAGTGGCGAAGCCTTCGGAGGCCTCAGCCTCGGCCAGCTGCTGCGAGGCAAAGCTTTCGATGTCCTGGGCAGCCTGCCGCTCCAACTCCGCCGCCCTCTGCCCCGCTCTTTCCAGCAGGGGCTCGACTTCGCTGGGCCTGCCGATGATCTGCGGCGGGGGCACCTCGTCGGGCGGAGGGCCCAAACCCGGCGGAGCCAGTCCGTGCCTCGGGGGTAATCATCCAAATAGAAGTGCGACTCCATGTACCGGGTTACGGTTCGGAAGAGGAATGTCGAGGGGCTCGCCCTCCGCGATGTAGCCCAGCACTTGACCGAAGGAGGGTTTGACGCGCCAGCCGTTGCGCCTGCGCTCCTCCATCTTTACTAGAAGCTGATGTGCAGCGGCCGTCGCCGGCCATAGTAGCTGTTCTCCCGAGCCCGCTGGACGCTCTCCGAGTTGGCCACGGGATCCCGCTTCAGCGAGAGCTCGCCGCTGCCGCCGCTGGTGAACTTGTGAAAGTGAAAGGTCACGTCACGCTCCTCGCCCCATTCCTCCTCCAGTGCCCTTCGCTGCTCTTCGGAGAGCTCGTCGTCGAAGGCCAGCGAGACATGCAGCGGGTGGTGCTCCGCCTCCTGACGCTTCAGCGGGGACTCCCCATCCAGGCCGATGGCCCAGAGCGTAGGCGCGCCCTCTTCGTGGGGCGGTAGTTGCGTGAGCTTGGCCTTGCGTGTCAACCCGTCACGCAGGAGCTCGCGCTGGATGCGATAGTACTTCGCGTCATCGGGACGCTCCCGATACCAGGCTCGCTTCTCCTGCTCGGACCAGTCGCTCTCCGAGGCCTGCTCCGCCAGGCTGTCGTACATTTATTACTCCGAAGCCGATTTAGATTTATAAATCTAAATTGGCTCGGGTCTGCAAACGGCAAGGGGCGATTTAGATTTATAAATCTAAATTGGCTCGGGTCCGCAATCGGCAAGGGGCGATTTAGATTTATAAATCTAAATTGGCTCGCCCGCGAGAGCGACTCACATCAGACCCCCGTAGACCTGCGAGTCGCTAGTGTTTCTACCGGCGGCCACGTCGCGCGCAATACGCTGAACGCCCGCGCGCTCTGCGGGAGCGTAGCGAAGCTGGGGGATGCGCCGGTTCACGGCGTCTGTCATTCGGCCGAGCTCGTCCGCGTAAGTCTCGCCCTGTTGGCGCAGGCGCCGGTTGGAGAGCCACTCGTTGAAGGCTTGCGCTTCTGATGATGGTCGCATCCCGCAACCCTGCACTGCACATGAGCGCGATGTTGCACTCCGAAACATGTATCTTGTCTGGCTCCTGAAGTGCTGAGCGCACTGAACGACAGGTCGAAGTTCCTGTGCTGAGGCTTGCAAAGTGTTTAACTACCGTTTTCTGGTTGCTGGTATGCAGCTGTTCGCAGCGATACCTTAGGTCGCCTGCAGCTATGCGTAGCGGGGCAATGTCGAGAGTGACACATGTGACAACCTGGATGTCCTTTTTGCCTTTGGGGGTCTTCGGGGTCTTCGGTGTTTGTTGGTCGTCCTTGTTTTCGCCGTGTTCGTCGTCGTCGTTCGTCGTTTGTTGTTGTCGTCTGCGTGTTGCTGTTGTTTTCGTGTTGTTGTTGGTGTTTGCTGTTCTTTTTGTTTGTTGCTGTTGGTGTGTTGCTGTTGTTGTGTCGTGTTGCTTCTTTGTTGTTTTTTTTGTTTGTTCCGTTGGGTGTGTTGTGTTGCTGTTGCGCTGTTGGTTGTTGTCGTTCGTTCGTTTGCTTGTTGCTCTTTCGGACTTGGCTTGGACTTAATGGCTGTCACTGCTGATCACTGCCACCACTGAGTGGCCGGGTAAGTCACCTGCTCTTACTTTCGCTAGCCGTCCTACTCTGAGCGGTGCGTGTGCAAAGCAAAAAAAGGCTTGCGCTTCGACGAGCTGCTGGTGCCGCCGGCGCATCAAAGGCCAGAGGTTGTACGAAGGGTACATCTTGTGGAATTGCCGCAGCATCTGCGGCTCGTTGCGCCTCTCCAGGGGCATCATCTTTTACAGTTCGTAAGTGTTTCTTGTCAGGAGCTCCATGTAGCGATCCTGCTTTTGCATGTGGCGCATGGCTCTCTCCTGGGCCGGAGTCATTCTCACAGGCTGCTCGGGCTGGGTGGGGATCGGACGGGGCTCGGGGGCAGCGGGGGCAGCGGGTACAGTCGCTGGAGCCTTCTCAGCGTGCGCGGGCTCGGGAGCCGGTCGGCCGGCACGGTTTTCGGGGGCTTCGGTTTGTTCTTGGATCCGGGTGGTCGCCCTCTCCGCTTCGGCTCGGGCTTCGCGGGCTCCGGCGTCGGCACGGGAGCCGGCGCCTCAGGCTCCGGAGCAGGCTCCTCCACAGTCGCCGGGCCGTCTTCCACCACATCCGCCAGAGCAGTTGTAGACTTGTCTACCAACCCCTTTTTGCGCGCGAGGCGAGCCACTTGTGGCGAGCTTGCAAAAATCCAAAAAGTACCCTAATCCCTATCCCGTGTGCTGTACCTCACCCTAAGCACCGGTATTTGGTGTGACCATTTCTTGTGTCGTGCCATTCTGAATGCTTGGCCTATCCGTGACATTCATCTCAAGTGGTGGGGGGGCGGGACCGCCAAACCGTCTCGACACAAGTTCTTGACGGGGGTGTGCGGTTAGAGAGCCGTGGAAAGCCTTGGGGCCAGTAGCGTGCATCTAGAAGGTTCAAGAGCTCCTAACGCGAGGTGCTGTTAGGTCGTGCACGCCGTGTGGTCCCGTTGACCACGGCAGATGGGCATACAGCAAATTCTTTTGCTGGAGGACTGAGCAAAGAGCAGTTGCATCTTTAGTAACTTTGCTTAAGGATCCGGAATCACCTGGACCCCGGAGTTGTGATCAAAGGTCAAAGGCGCCTTGCCGTCCTTGAAGGTTGGATGGGGTGCCCGAGGTCCGGATTTTGTTTGCAGCTTGAATAAGAAAAGTTCGTGTGTGTGTGCCGATTTTAGGAGTGCCTACATGTCAACTCACGCTTTGCCGCGAGGGCTGCTCTGGGAATCAAAGTTCTTGTTTCTTCAACTGTGAGAGGCCTGACGCTTTCGGTCTTGGGTGTTTGTGCAATTGCTTTAGCACTCAACGACCGTCATGCTTGGCTCGTTTGCGAACTCGGTAGATTTTCCTTGACGGCTTTGTGAGTGACTCTTTGTAATGTAAGTGGCTGTGAAGGCGCCCTCTCTCAGTGGATCAGGGTATCCCTGTGAGCCTACATGGGAGACGTGCCTGTGGATGCCGCTGCACTTGATGCGCACTTGTCCTTTTGCATCAGAGCGAGTCACCAGTCATCTTTCAGACCTACGTGGGAGACAATTAGCGAGCCCACGAACTTAGTTTTTCGTCTCCCTGCTGCAAGGGGACCGTTGCCGCTGATAGCAGAACCTCGAGCTGAAGCGGCATCTTCCGGGTCCGTCAGTCAGGCCAAGAGACCGGGTGTGTCAGGAGACTCGCCATTGAAGATGGGCAAACATTGGCACGGGATTTCGTGGGAACACAAGCTGGAACGTGAGCTGGTCGCGGGTATTAGGAAGTGGGGTGTGATTATTATGCACTCCCCTCTGAGCTTCGATATCGGCCGGCGTCTGCGAGGTGAGCACAGACTTGAACCCCTCATCTTGGAAAGCCTCGGCCACATTTTTGCTGGGAAGGCAGCTGGCACTCTGCATCAGAGGGCTGGTCCGATGCTTAGGTACATTCGTTGGAGTGTTCAGGCTGCCATGGATCCTTTTCCCCTTGAGGAGGGGCAGGTATACGAGTTTTGCAAGAGTTGCGAGTTTTCATCTGCCCCAACTTTCTTGAGGAGCTTCATTGTATCCATATCTTTCTCTGTGCACGTCCTCGGTGTCACAGGTGGAGCCGATTGCTTGCTCAGCGGTCGGGTGACTGGCATAGCGAGGCTCACCTACCTCGCCAAGCGCAAGAAGACTCGGAGACCGCCACTCACGGTTGCTATGGTGGCTTTCTTGGAGAATCTCGTTTGTGATCCGACTGCCAGGGCAATTGATAGAATCTGCGCGGGTTTCTTTCTTTGCTTGGTGTTCATGCGAGCTCGGTTTTCAGACGGGATGAACCTTGGAAACCTGCAATTGGACACTCCAAGTGGTCTAGCCAATGAGGTGGCTGGATACTTAGAAGGAGAGGTTCTTCGATCAAAGACTTCCTTCACGACTGAAAGAAAGACGATGCTTTTGCCCATGGTCTGCCCACGCTTAGGCGTCACAGGACTCGATTGGGCGGGAGTGTGGATGAAGCTACGGGAGCTTCACAAGATGCCGACGGGCAGCGGTGTGCCGCTGCTCCCTGGTACAGGAGCTTCGGGAGAATGGCTACTCGTGCCACCGAGCGCCACTGTCGCTGCATCCTGGCTTAAGGGCATTCTGAGCAAAGGAGGTTTTGATCACGGGGCCCTCGCCAAGTTGGGTACCCATTCGTGCAAGTGCACTACCCTCAGCTGGTGCGGGAAATTTGGTCTCGATCAGTCTGTGCGTCGCACACTCGGTTACCACACAGACCGAGCTGCTGCGATGGTCATTCTTTACTCTCGTGATGAGATTTCTAGTGCTGTGCGAGCTCTGGAGAGAGTCCTTGGTGAAATCAGGGAGGATCGTTTTAGGCCTGATGCCACTCGGAGCGGACATTTTCCTTGCGAGGTGGCGACGCCCTCAGCAGAGCCCGAGGGTGATCCTCCCGACTATGAATCCAACGGTGGAGCTAGCGAGTCGGAAGATTCACAGGACGAAGAGGACAACGTTGGTGATCTCGGAGCCGAGGAAAGAGCTCTGGAGGAGATTGGAGCGCCGTGGAGACCACAGGGCGCTGCCAGTGATCGCCGTATGTTCCGGCACAAACTCTCGAGGATCATTCATTTTGTGGCCGACGAGGCCGGTGCCACTTTTGCATGTGGAACAAAGATCTCTTCGAATTACGTTGAGATGAACAGTGGAGTTTCCTTTTTGCATCCTTTGTGCAAGAAGTGCCACCCGGTCCGATGAGAGCTGGTTCGGGCTGGACCGGAGTGGGTTTGGGTTTGTCACATCCAACCCGGTAGAGGAGCTGGTGCGGGCTCGGGTTGGGTGGATGCTGGTGCCTCCACTCGCATGTCGGCTGATTCGGGCCCGAGCTGGAATTTTGGGCACAGCATCGCATGATACCTTCGATGGCCTTGAAGGATCGTGAGAGTCCTTCTTGGAGACTTGAGTCAGCGCTATGAGGATCGCTTGGATCCGGGGCGATCTGCCCTTGGCGAAAGGGCAAGACTTTGTGTTGACGTGCTTAGCAGTGACGTGGGTCATGGTGGATCGCAAAGTCTTGTCTTGTTTGAGCGTCGAGTCTATGGCGTGCAGCAAATACAGGGTCCTGTGATGTGTGCTGCGCGAATGCCGAGTGAAGTGATTACTTTTGCAGAGGTGCTGTAGAGCAACAGTGTGGAGAGGCGAAGCGTAAATACTGCGTGAACAAGTGTGCTTCTCAGAGCTGGCGGAGGGTGTAGTCGTAGCAATGTCGGTCACTGATTCCGCCGCAAATTTCCGTGCGAGGGCCATCGCGCTGGGGCTTGATGAGGCCGTTCTGCAGAAGATCGTCGACGGGGGTATTGACACATTGGCCAAGTTTGCCTTTTCGTCTTCATACACCCCGGGCGCTCAGGATGAGAAGCCTTTTCTTGATTCCATCGCAACTCTTCTGGGTAGGGATGGTAGCGTGGGAGAATTGTCAGTACTTCGACGCTTATTCCATGAATCCTACTCGCTCACCTCTGCTGAGTTGAAGCAGTCAGTGGAACGTGTCGAGGACGGGCCTGTCAAGAGATTGGCTCAGCCAGACAGGGCCGACCGGTTGGCCAAGCAACAGAAACGTTTACCTGGGATAAGCATCCGAGGTCCTCTTGAGCCATCTGATCGACTCGTGGATCGTTGCGTGGCGATCTATGAGGAAAACCGGCTTGTCTACGTTGAGCTTTCAGCCTGCACCTCTAAGGAAGATGAAATTAAGCAAGCCACGCTCAAGGAGGACAGGCATCTTGTCGTAGAAAGCGGGGGAAATGTTCGACTCAAAGGCCTGGTGAACAACAAGATGGATGCAGACATTTCCTCTGATTTGCTCATGCGGTATGCTCTTACTAGGCGTGGCCTAGCGATGGAGCAAGCGGGAATCATCTCATATACACTGCATGACGCATGGACCGAGCAACTGCTCGCGTGCCGTTTCCGAGAACCCCCGACAGGGTACAGCCGCGTTTCCTTGCAACAGGTCATTCATGCTGACAGGCAATTCTTCATCAAACTTGCCGAGCTCACCCGGGAAGGAATACAGCTTCAGGCGAAGGGTAGACCATGTGATTTGCACTTCGAGACAGCTCGCAATCACCCGGATGTGGCGCACCTAATGCAACCCCTTCTTGCAGCGGTGCCTAGACCAGACCCCACATGGACGCCCCGAAAAGGCGACGGCAAGAACGGCAAGGGAGGTAAAGGTCAGAAGGGCGGTAAAGGGAAGCGGGACACCACTGCCATCACTGCTGCGATGCCTAAGGAGATTGCTGATGGGGGGTTATCTTTCACGCCTAAAGGGTACGCAATCTGTTGGGATTATAATCTCAATAGATGCAAGCGCAGAGTGACATCAGGAAGGTGCGACAAAGGGTTGCACATATGCTGCCGTGCTGGCTGCCTGAAGTCTGGGCACTATTACGGCAACTGTCCGAAAGCAGGTGGTTCTTGACTAGGTGTCTCAGGTCCGGTCGGTTCCACCTCCCATCAGGTCGGAGCCGATACAGGTATGAGCGTTGATGCAGCCGGCGGTGCTTCCGCCGAAATCCTTTCACAACAGTTGCTTGAGGCTGACAGGTTGCCCACTCCAGAGGAGATTGAAGAGCTCGTTAGCCTCTTGCCGCATGGCGAGTTGACCGGCGAACGCCGGAGCAACGCGGACGCTTCTTGCAGTGCATTCCATAGCGGTGCTTTTGTACACATCAAAGTGGGATTGCGTCGAAATTGCAAAATCTTCCCAAGCACGACAAAGCTACTATCGAGAATTCTGCGGCATGCCCATCCTGGGCATGAATTTACTTCCTTGCTGCTTTCTGTTGACAACCAGACTGCATTGCATGCAGATAGCCAGAATGCCTTCATCCCAAACTTGGTCGTTCCACTAAACAGGTTTTCTGGTGGTGGGATTTGGGTGGAATCCGATGTTGGCAAAGAGCGTTTGACAGTCGATGGCCAAGAGCTGCTGGGAACCACCTTGGATTTAGGGTTAGGCCCCGTAAGATTTCAAGCTAGGGTTCAAAAGCACCTCACCCTGAGTTGGGAAGGTCGGCGAATGGTCCTTATCGGATACTCTGTACAAGGCGGTGAGATGCTTCAAGACTCGGATAAGGTTGAGCTGAAAGCCTTGGGGTTCGCACTTCCATCGCAGTACCCCGCCACCGGCAACCAGGTGGCTGAGCAAGCGTGTTTTGCGGACTTCAGGAATGGGACCAGCAGCCCGCCACTTCTTGAGCAAAGGCCGGCATATGATCCACAGCACATCGGCGATCCGTCGAGGAGTCCAGTGCAAGGGATCGTCATCGAATTGTTTGCTCGTAGTGGTGCCTTGTCTAGGGTTTTCAAACAACATGGGTTTGAGGTTTTCCCAGTGGATCGTGGGGGGCACAGGCTCCCTTTGTCTAAGTTGTGTGCCCTTGATTTGGCGCAAGCGTCGAGTTGGACCTACCTCGAGGAAGTTCTTGAAACCTACCCAGTTCTTTATGTCCACGCTGAGCCGCCTTATGCCACGTTTGGGCCACAGCAGGCGTTTAGGCACTTAGTCAACGGGGTCACGAGCCCCGTGGGAACCGTCGACTCCAAAGCTGTTGATCGACTCGCTTTAGCTGACTCCATGGTCAACCACTTGTGCACTTTCTTGCAAAGCGTGGACAAACGAGGTATTCCTTGGACCTTGGAACACCCAAAGGCCAGCCTTCTTTGGAATCTGCCGAATGTGCGGGCTTTGCCTTCAACTTCTGAGGTTGTTTACGATCTTTGTAATTTCGGGTCTGCCCTTAAGCTTCGCCGCCAACTTAGGACCAATTGCAAGGCTTTAAGGTCCCTAAACTGCTTGTGCAAAGGCGACCATTCGCATGGCCAAGTCGAAGGTGGAGTCGTCACACACCCTCCCGAATTCTGCAAACATGTCGTCCAAGCAATTGCGCGGCACCATGGACTTGCTTGCCCCGACGTGGCTTTGTCATCCACGCCAGCTGGTGTTGCCCAGCAAAAGAGAGGCAAACCTGAAGCTTCGCTACTGCCTGAGTTCGGCAAGGTCTTGCAGGTAGATGTCGATCAGGTTCCGCCAGTGAACCACAAGCAGTGCCTCACTCGCCCGTTGGGCGAGGTGCCAGCAGGATCCAAGCTCATCGCCACGTCTCTTCTCAGGGGTGATGCGGGTGGCGATGCGGGTAACGAGGGTAAGAAATTTCGCCTTTCTTTAGGAGTTTTTGCCACGCCAGATGAGTTCGTTGATGCGGCCAAAGACTTGCTACATCCTTTTGCTGCTTCGGCTGTTCTGTCGCCTATCGTGAAAAGGCGTTTGTTTGAGGCCTTGACCAAAGGTCCTGAATGGGTTCAGCGACAACGGTGCTCCAAATTGAAATTGTGGCTTAGCTGGGCCAAAGAACTGCAAGTTGCCGAAGGAGAAATGAAAGGTAAGCTAGATCCTGACATTGGCCGTGTGCTTCGAGGCAAGCGCTTGTTGCTTCTTAAGCGTATTGCTGATGATATGGACTGGCCCGACAAGGATTGGTTGGGTGAGCTCTTGGAAGGGTTTGACTTAGTCGGTAGTCAGAAGCACACCGGGGTCTTCAAGCGAGAGTTGCGACCACAAGCAAGAACTAAGGCGGACTTTCTTGATGCTAGCAAGTTCTTGCGACCGGCACTTCTGGGCAAGGTCGCCTCTGAGGGTCTGAACGAGCATTCTCAGGAACTCTGGGACAAGACCTTGGAAGAGGTGACGGACGACCTTCTTGAAGGACCTCTGACGCAGGAGGAGGTTCATGCCAGACATGGTGACCATTGGGTCCCGGTTAGGAGGTTCCCGGTGGTACAATCTTCAGCGGGCAAGAGGAAGGAAGCTTCGACCGATTGATGATTTTTCGGAGAATCTAGTCAACGGTTCTTTTTCGTATGCCGATAAGATTGACTTGCGTGCCCTTGACGAAATCATTGCCATCTGCCGATGCTGGACCCAGGCATGCACTTCAAAACATCAGTTCTTTTTCGCGATGCCTGAAGGGCCACCGTTGGTGGGCCGTGTCCACCCTCTGTGGGTCAGCGGGGCTTGGGAGCCTTTGCTTACAACGTTCGATTTAAAGAATGCTTATCGTCAATTCCCATTGTCACCAGGCAGCCGTGCTCATGCGATCATTGCACTGTTGGACCCGAGCAGTCTTGGCGTGGGTTTGTTCGAGTCCAAAGCGCTACCCTTCGGTAGCACGGCGTCGGTGGTGCACTTCAATCGAATGTCACGTTTGTTTTGGAGGATTGGCCTTGAACTTCACCTGTGGTGGAGCAATTTTTATGATGACTACCCAGTCATGACGCCAACACTGCTTAAGGATTCCACCATGGCGACTATGATGCTCCTGTCCCAGCTGTTAGGGTTTAGTGCCTCCCTTGAGAAGTTGGCCCCATTTTCTTCGGTTGGTACGATGTTGGGCGTTGAAGTAGACTGCAGTTCAGCGCCCGATGCGCTCATCCGTGTTCGCAACAAAGAGGGTCGTGCCAGCGAGGTGTGTGAGGTCATACAGGGATGCATTAAGGCTGGTGTGGTAAGGCAAAGGGATTTCGCCCGTGTCGCTGGCAGGATTCAGTTCTCAGACTCGCAAATCATGGGACGTACCGGCAAACTAGCTTTGGCCGAGTTGCGAGCCTCATCGGCCAGGCATGCTGACAAGTTCCGTCTTGGAGAGCAGGAGGTTAGGGCCTTTGATTTCTTGGTCAGTCGACTGTCCTTTGGTGCTCCTAGGGTTGTACCCTGTTCGGTTCCTCCGAAACCGATTCTTGTCTTTACCGATGGCGCCAGCGAAGGATCTATCCACACAGTGGGGGGAATCATGTTTGACCCGCGAGAGCAACAACCGAAGTACTTTGCTTGCCATGTGTGCGACAGTGTCGTCTCGACCTGGTCCCGGGACCTTCAGCACATCATAGGTCCAGTCGAGGCCTACGCTGTGCTCACAGCGAGAAAGGTCTTTCATCAGTCTCTGTCGGGACGATATTGCGTGTACTTCATTGATAACGACGGGGTACTGCTTAGCTACATCAAGGGTACGTCTTCTAGCAAACCTATGCGAGACATTTTGCTGATGTGGGAGTCCCTGGAGATGCATGCTCACACGTGGGCGTGGTGGGCTCGTGTGCCATCCGCATCCAACCCAGCCGATGCGCCGTCAAGAGGCGAGCTGGATGAGCTTGTCAAAGCTGGGGCATTGCGTGTGGATTGTGATTGCCCGCTTACCGGTACAAGACTTGTCGACTTGTAATCAAAAGGGGCTCCCGTACTGCATTGTTTGGGGGGATCGGGCAGCCCGGTTCGCCCCGAGCAAAAAGTCCACCGTGCGAGTGATTGAGCTTGATTGGAATCATTTCATACCTATATTTATGGAGTCTCGCCGTTGCATAATTTGATGCCGACTTTTTCTCTTGAATAACATTCCCGAGTACACGATTGGAGGTTTTTGGATTTTTCCGAGCTTAGCAAAAAGAGCAGTTGTAGACTTGTCTACCAACCCCTTTTTGCGCGCGAGGCGAGCCACTTGTGGCGAGCTTGCAAAAATCCAAAAAGTACCCTAATCCCTATCCCGTGTGCTTTACCTCACCCTAAGCACCGGTATTTGGTGTGACCATTTCTTGTGTCGTGCCATTCTGAATGCTTGGCCTATCCGTGACATTCATCTCAAGTGGTGGGGGGGCGGGACCGCCAAACCGTCTCGACACCCACCCACCACACCCTGTCGAGACATCGTTGCTTCGGCTTGCAGCGCCGACTTCTGCTCCCAAGGAGAAGTTCAGTTTTCTGCCAACTTCCGGAAACTTACGCCTCGATTGAGGCGGCGATCTCGGTCGCTGACTCTCGTGACTTTAGCTGCTTCCGAAGTTGTGCCAATCTCACAAATGTGAGAACGCGCCTAGCCCGAGCCTGGATCGGGCAGCCCGGTTCGCCCCGAGCAAAAAGTCCACCGTGCGAGTGATTGAGCTTGATTGGAATCATTTCATACCTATATTTATGGAGTCTCGCCGTTGCATAATTTGATGCCGACTTTTTCTCTTGAATAACATTCTCGAGTACACGATTGGAGGTTTTTGGATTTTTCCGAGCTTAGCAAAAATTTTCTTTAGGATTTATTTTCACTCGTCGTCGAGGAAGACCACAAAACTCACACTGGTGCCCCGAGTATTCACGGTGTTTCCGAAAACGTCGGTCAACCGGAAGCGCAGGGTGCGCAGCGTGATGGGGCCGTGGAGCCGCACGTAGTGGCCCTCGTCGGTCCTGCCCTGCATGACGTGGCCGACGCCCTTGTCGACGACGAGCTTGGCCAGGATGTCCTGGCCCAGCGGGCCCTTGATGTCGGCGGCCGTGGCCAGTGTGCTGCAGCGCAGATAGAGCTCGTTGTACGGGGCCATGGTCACAAACGAAAAGGTCTGCAGGCCTCCTGAAAAAAACGAGGGTCCGAGAAGGTGGTT